TGAACCACAGCAGCAGAGCTACCTGCCCGAGACCCCATGACCCAAGCAAATGGTGACACAAAGCTCAACAAAAAGCACATTGCCACTGTCATCTCTTCTGGACAACCTACTTTTCATTTCTTCATTCCTCCTTTGTTGCATCCTCTTTCCTTAGGTTATATGCAAAACAACTAAGCCTCTTCACCTCTCTCTGTATTGTTTTTCAGAAATAGATGCGTGCAATGTTCTCAACTCCATTCACTCCTGTCACGGCCATCGCATTCCTGTCAAGCGGCTCCTTTGAATACCTGCTCACTAGTCTTTCATCAGCAGTGACCTCTGCTCCGCTTTAGTCAGCTAACACCTCATTTGCTTTCATGTGAAGTGCCTCCTGGGTGGAGGGTACTGCAAGTGGCAGTTGAGTGAACCACTGCTGCTCGACTGGTGTGCTCTGACTGTCAAATGCCATCCATGTCTCCTCCCCACATCCCCTCTTACTCATTTTGCCAGGCTCTACTTTGTGCTTGTAGAAAAATGCATTGTAGATTTGTGGGTGATATTACCTCAAATGGTTAGAAAGTGGTTTTCTCACGCTATCTTTGAAGAACTCCTTCAGCATTGTGTATCTGGGTCTTGTCATTGTGTCTTTTGAGATTCTCAGACTAAGCCATTCATTTTTTGCCCCTTCGGTCTTTTCTCCCCCGGTGACTTTTTCCTTGTGTTCCCTTCCATTTAAAAATGGATGTTTTAGTATATAAATGCACAGTACACAAAATGCAGTATTTTCAACTTCATTGAGCACTTCAACATTTGGAGATCCTTCTTTTTTTATCTCTTACTTCTGACTTCTATGAGGTCTGAATTTAATTACTCCTTTATAATTTTTTGCTAGATGGAACGGCTTGGTGGCTTGTAGCCTTAGGACAGACATTGTGGAATACCCACCATATTAATGTGGCCTCTGATATGTATAATTTTAAACAACCTCTTAGACCTCATTGAAAGTCTAAAGATATCTTTGAGACAAGGATTTCAATAAGGCTGTGTCTCCAACAAATTAGAGCAGTGCTTTTAGAATGATCTGGGGTAGTTCATGAATATATTGTTTGTCTGAGATCACAACTTGCTTTCTGGAATTAAATGAACTTTCCACTGCAGTAGTCTAGGAAAGTGCATGTAGGCAGCTCTGCTGAGGGATCACTGGATTTCCAGCTAGTGGGGGGCAATGCACTGACTTGATTGCTAGCAGCCAGGTCAGAACACATTTGATATTCTTTGCTACTGCTTCTGGCTTTGCATTTTCTTTGTGCATTTTAATCAGTGTTGTCCCTGAAACTGAGTGGGGGGTCCTCTGGAGGGGTGTTTCTTGTGGAATTCAGAATATGCAGAATTTTCTTGACCTCTGTCTTCTGTTGTATGCAGTCATGCCTTGTATTTCTAGTAAGGCTCTCTTGATGGCTAGATTGCTCAAATATAATAGAAAATAATCCTTTCATTCTGCCAGCTGGTCTTGCTTTATTAATAGATTCATGTGATGCCCTGAGGATTGTGTTTGTATGGTTAATCTTAAAGTGTTTTTACTGATATTTATTCTAAGTATTTTCTAATCTATAGGCAACTGGTCTGCAGTCTAACATCCGCTTGTACAAGCACACACACCTACCAGAGCTCCATTTGCTGAGCATTACTGCTATTTAAAACGTTTTCAGTTTCTACTGGTGCTAGGTCAGATGAGCGTCCTGTTCAGTATCACTCGTACTAATATCTCAGCTCTCTTGCTGCTGCATCCATAATTGTGTGACTGTAAGACATAACAAAACAAGTTCTTTTTATTCTCTCAGCATCCATTTCCTCCTATTATCCACCATGTGTGCATGTAAGAATCTCCTTGTTGTATGTCCATTAGACAGTCCTGAGACACTTGGCCTGATCTCTTCGATGTTGTTGTTGTTTTTGATGGCTTATCTCCAACATCACAAATTTATCTGACATATTCTTGCCATATAATATCACTGACAATAGCCTAATATTGTACAACATTTGAGGCAAAGAAAATGCAGTGCTTGAGTTCAGTAGAAAATGGATCAGGCCATTTCTTCCTTGGCTGCTTGGATCCCTACACAAGTCTGCACCATAGCACTTTTTCAAATCTTTTAAATATGAAATAATAATAGCAAATTGGAATTAGATTGTTAATGTATAGGCTGCTGTGAATGTGACAGTTTTTTTGCATATAATGCTGCTGAGTTTGTTTATTGAATTTAATAGGTCAAATATTATGGGAAAATGAGTCACTTTATTAGCAGGATAAAGAATAAAACCTGCCTTCCTCTGACTTTTTTTTAGAACAAAACTGCACTGGTACAGATTCACTCAAGCATGATGTAGTTTGTGCTCATAATGTAACAAGATGGTACTAGTAGGGGTCTGTCTTCTCTGTCAAATCATTCATATGCGCTAACTGTGCAGGAAGTGAAGGTATCTCAGATCCCTATCCCTTTGTCCAAATGACTAATTAATTGAAGAGTTATTAAGACACCAAAAAATAGATCCTAATGCCTAGACCACATTTTCTTAGGAAATACACTTTAAAAACAAGTCCAGGAAAAAATCCACCACTGCTATGTGAAATACTTTAGCTGGGATTAAAAATATGCTTAAAAACAGAATCTTTGCTAGAGATTTTCACACATCTAGGCTGACTTGTTCACTGAACTCCCCAGTACTATTAACTTCTCTTTTGCTTGTCCAACTCATATTTGACGAATTGCGCAGTCCTTTAGGTAATTGACAATCTGTCTATTTTGTGTTTCTGCAAGCATCAAAATGGTCAACTTCCATCTGGTGTGCTTTTAAGAAAAGTCTCCCACTTCAAAATCCACGGGCAGCATTCTCCCCATATTAACAACAAATTGCTATCTCATTTCATTTCTGACCCTTCCTGTCACCCTCCAATGATGCTACAAAATAATTTTTCCTCCAAGAAAATCTCTGGAAAGTGCTTTTTCTCTGACTGCCAGCTGAAAAGAAGTCCTGTGCCCGGTCTTCCACTTGGCTTCCTAACATTAGTGCTGGCAGCTGGGTCTCAAACAGACTGATACATGCAGTTTCTTGGAGGTAGGCTGCATTAACCTGAGGTGCCATGAGCTGGCAGGACGTAAAGGAATGCAGTATTGCCATCTTATCTCCAGCTTGGCTGAGTGTTGGTTGCAAGGAAATCTCAGAAACACAAAAGCAGTAAAAAATTTCCTTCCCACCTCATATCTCGGCATAGAGTTAATACCAATGCTCAGGGTTGTTAAATGCTAGCTTTATCAGTAAAGCATAGCCACATTTATTACTTATTTTAGCCCCTTTAAATACAGGGAATTTATTTTTTAAAGCGTATTAGTGCAATGAATTTAAATCAAGGATTGCCACAAAATAGAAATAATATCCCTTGATCTTCCCTGTTGTAGTTTATATTCTGAGTAAAGCTAATTACATTTGTAAGAGTCTCACTAGGAAAAAAAATATAGACTGGGAACCTGAAGCCTTCTGGCACTTACATTTGTAAATTCAGTGGAAAGTAATGTTTGTTTTTTTTTTTTTTTTTAAATTATTTTTTCTTTCTTAACAGAAAAAAAAAAATCTAACCACCCCTAGAAGTACTGAATCCCACACTGGCAATATATTTCTGTCTCAGGACAAAGCATGCAGAAAGAGAGAGGTTGTGTTAGGTGCCTAACTCTTACCAACATTCATTAGAATGTGGACATCTCTGAAAATTCTCCCTGTGTGCATGGTCTGATTCCTCTTTTATTGCAAATGCTCTGCTGCCCGTTACTAGTTAAATCTGGTCAATCAAAGGGTCTCAGCATTGCAGTCAGAAGCTTATAGATTTACACTTAGGACACTGTTAATAACTGTTTTCAAAGGACAGTTTGTACTCTACAATTCTGGGGACCACAGGCAGAAAGCAGTTGACTGACTAAGGGGCATGCAAGTGAAAGGATGTGCCTGCTTTCTTCTGGTCACCCCAGATCATAGCGATTTCTTTGAGCAAGCGCTGTAGGTGAAAGGAAGAGAAGAAACCTATGAAGAACACTGAGAGAACCATGGTCACATTCATCCCAGAAAAGATGTGATGCATTAAAATGTTGCTTCACAATGTATTTCCTTTCTTCTCAACCTCAAATTGGTGACTTTGCCAATCAATTTAGTTGGCTAGAGAACCTAGGTATAACTCTTGTTTTTGAAACAGAAGAGGACCAACCACCTAATGCAGCTCAAGAATATGAATTCCTCTCCAGTTGCTGCTAGAGGACACATGACTCATTCTTGCTGCTCTCCTGGGTCCACTGTTGTTGCAGCGCTGTCAAAATCCAGAACACTTTTAACCTTACCTGAAAGCAAAATGGATAGTCAAAAATCTGCAATGGTACTATCTGCAAATGAGAGAACTGAGAGTATAAATCAAAGGCTTTTGACTCATTTTGGTGAAGCAGAAAATAGAATTGTCCAACTTGAAAACAGAGAAAATGAAGAGCAGAGTATTCGTTATAAAGGAGCTGGAGAACAGATTAGCTTAAGGACTTAAAGAATCACCACAGGAGCTCACACCTGAGGCTTTTGGAATACCTGAGTGTGCTTGGAGGTATATCCAGTGCCTGTGTTCCCCTGCCCCAAGATTTCAATAGAGCAAATCTGAAAATAATAAAGGGGTTTTGATTTGAAGACAAAAAGATCATGCTGAGAGAAGCAAATAATGTTCTTTTCCAGTGCTAATTTCTTCCTCTGCCTTTCTGTGAGCCAAGAAACAGACACCTTGTGCAGCCTTTAACCTCATTAAAAAACAGACTTGTATGAGGAAAATCAAACATGCACTTCACATTTTAGAAAGCATAAGAACAAAATCTTACTTTCATATTACATCAAGACTGATATTAACTTTTAAAACTTACTGAAAAATGTGAGAAGTTTTGTAAAATCTACTGCAATACAGTCATGCTGTAATGCATACATTTTTGCTTACATTGAAGGAACGTATATCTTGACACGACGCTTGAGATCACAATAAGGAAGTATTTTTCTTTGGTCCAGCAGTAGAACTCAGATGGTCTGGTGGTAAAGCGTAACTAAAATACGGTAAGTCCTTTCTCTACATATGCACATTCATGACAAAACTTTGGTTGTGTTTTGTTGGGTTTTTGTTTTTGGGTTTTTTTTTTTTTTTTTTTTTTTTTTTGAATTGTTATATTTCTGAACCTCCCAAAGAATAAAAGACAAAGCAGGAAGTCTCTCAGTCTCTCTGTCCCTCTGTTAGCTTCTGAGCTCAGGTCTTTAAACAGGTATTTTGAGAGTTATAAATCTGCCTGCCAACTGTTGTTTTCATAACCCCTCAGGATTGAGTGAGAATATTTATTATTGTTTATTTGTGCCTGGGTGATTTCCTTAATCTGTTTTTGCACATCAACAGAAATAGTGTCTGTACTGAAGTAAAAAAAACAAAACAAAACAAAACAGCAAAGGGGTATGGAATAAAACTTCTATGCATATGAACATGCATGTATTACACTTCTTAGAAATTAACTTCAGCAGTCCCCAAAGCCTACAAATTGATTCCCTATAAACGCTGAGGTAAAGGGACCCAAGAAGAAATACAGAAGTGTCTGAACGAACTCAGGCAGCATTTCTTTCGCTTCAAGATTTGTCTTTTTCAAGCATCACTTATCACTATTGAAATATTACTCGTGACTATTAAATCTGTAGAGTACTTTGAATTTCCATTGTCAGCATGAGTCATGTTTCATCAGGAAAATAGCTTCGTTCTTAATAACTATTCAATTTGTTCCCTCATTTTTTCTTCCATTTAGAAGTCCTAGTAATTCTTCTCACAAAATCTACGCATTGAGGCTGCAGAAGGTGGAAAAGTTCCAGCACCGTGATGTGAAAATTAGTTTCAGAGTTCGTAACACCTGTCATTGCAGCCAGAGCACTCTATGCCCCACTTGATCTGAAGCCTCCCTTAAAAATCTTGTGGCTATCAATATTGATGAGAAACTTAGAAGAATGATCTAAGTCTACCCTAAATTCTCACAAGTTTAAAAAAAAAGGAAAAAGAAAAAAGAAATAATTAAAGGAACTGAAAACGAGAACACAAAATTGCTTGTCTTTAGAGATCTTTGTTACATTTTGAAAAATTGAGCATTACAGGTTAGAGAGGGCAAGTTTTTAGCTCTATCTGATACAAAGCAAAGGAGACTGAAAATATCGGGCAGTCCTTTATTAGACTGAACCAGTTTTGGATCTAGTCCATAATGACATAGTGGGATATGGCAGAGGATTTTTAACTGGACATACAAGAACATAACAAAGAGCAGACTATAATTATTTCAGATTGCTTACATACATCATATTTTCTCTTGTTGAATATCAATGAACCTAACTAGAAACTTTCTCTCTTGTTAAAGCAATTTTTAAGGTGTTCATTGTAGGATTTTAGTAGCTCTTCTGAAATTAGAAAATATCCTCAGAACTTTCAGACTGATAAACAAGGATACTGGATGCTTCTGAAATACATTTGTCAATATAGACTTGGGGAAAATAATGCTTCCAGCAAGTAACGCAGTTGTTATACTGCCTAACATCATTGAACTTCTGGGATGGCTTTTTTAATCAGTCTCCAAGGAACTGAGCTAGAAAGGTTTTTCTGGCTTGGTTGTCAATATAATGGTGCTCAACCATGCTATAATGCATCTAGGGATTAATTTATTGCTATTAACAGAGCCACCAGGGAAACACAGGTGGCTAGAAAAAAAATGTACCTATAAGAAAAGAAGGGCTATCAAAGCCTTTACAAGTAATGGAAAAAGAAAATAGATTGTAAGTGAAAATGACAATACCATGAGAGAAAACTGTGTATTATGGGTGACTGCTGATGAGCAGAAGCATGATCCAGTGATGAAGTAGAACCACAGAGAAATATATCTGATTTAAGATATGAAATCATATCACTGTAACACAAGAAACTTCTATCTAAAATGTGAGCATGTCTATACTGGAGTAATTCAAATTGTGTAACCTACACAAGCTAAATTTAAGCTATATAGGGCAGGTATTTCTAGTAACGTAACCATGTCAGCACAAAACCTATCTCAGACTAAAAAAAGCCCCACCTGCTCAAGGAGTTGCATAAATACTTGCCATCAGACCCCACGGAGCCCTGTCCTAGCATAGCTGCGCTTCAAATAATATCCAACTTAGATAGGCTGCACTAATAATTGCAGTATAGATGCTTCTTAAGACTAAAACTCCCTTGAAAGGATCGAAAGCTCTTTGGTGTCAGTAGCAGACTTTCCACTGATTTCAGTGAACTTTGGCTCAGGCCTTCTAATGTTAAAGATGAATGTAACATATTAAATTATAGAACAGAGTACTTGGTCTTAATAAGAGCAAATTATTTCTTCAGGGTAATAAAACTGATGCAGTTGTAGCAAGACAACTGAGAAAACAGACTCAGGGAAAACTAATTAAAGCATCTTGAGTACAAGAACTAAGTTTTGCCCTCCCTGACATAAGAAATTACCTTCAGAACTTTTATAAAACACTTAATCTCATACAAAGTAGGTAATAAAAGTGATATACTGTAGCCTTCTCTCGAACCAAGATCAAACTACCTACCTTCTATGAAAGGGAGCAATTTGCCCAGGATGTGCCTCTTGAACACAGGAAAAAAAAATGTTTGCCGTTGAAATGTGAAAGCCTATTAAGTGCTGGGCTGTGATTGCTTTTCAATTAGCTTTTACAAAGTTCTAAGGAAAAAGTGAAAAGGTGGTTCCTTAGCTTGTGAGGCAGCTATTAAGTTTCTACTCAGATAATGTCACCAGAAGACTGTACTTTGTTTCATCATGTAGACATTTCTCTATCAAGGAGAAAAGAGGAAATAGAAGAGCAAAACTAGAGAAGGCGAGTTGTTCTTTAATAAGTATTAATAAGCCTTGCTGGCTTTTCAGAGAGTCAGCCATCCCCAGCAGAGGACTTTAGCACTTGACCTGTTTGCAGTAAATCTCTTTGGGTACAGAGAAAATGTTTGATTGGATTGAGTGGGCCTGTTCAGACCCAGGATTGAAAGAGAAGAGTTTGGGCTGGAGGAGCTCTTGAGCTTGAACTGGAGCATAATGCAGCAAGCCAAATGGCAGGATGTTTGTCTGAAGAGAAAAATAACTTGGAAAAGTGATCCTCAGAAATATAAAACAAGGCACTCCCTCGTGGTGACCACTGTGGGTAGTTCAAGCCTTGATGGAGAGAGGTTAGAGATAGATAATCACTTGTGCAAGTATTTAACTGCAGATACATGAAAAGCTCTGTTGACATCACCAAGCCAATTTCAAAGCAAAGAACAAATGTAAGTGCTTTGCTGGATGTAGGCCAGAAGCAGATGAAGTTAGCAATAAGATCATTTTGGAGGCTTCTTTTTATTTCTGAATTCTCAGAGCACCCAGACCTGTTCCTGGATAGTCTCAAGAAGGATAAAACTACCTGGAACGGAATCTAAGACACTAACTGAATCCTTTTTCATATGGAATAGGGATTTTTCCTTTAGCCCATAAACAGAAATTTTGTATTAGCCTTTCAAACAGAGGCTGTTTGTTGAGTTAGAGGCTATTTGTTGATTGAAAGTTTTAAAACAAAACATCTGGGTCAATTTTTATTGCCCTCATTGGAATTACTTTATAATTTTCCAGCTCTTATTTTGCTAGCCAGAAAAAAAAAAACGATTGTGTCCAAAAGCATTTGCACGGAAACTGGGTAGTAATAATAAATGTCAGCCAGGTATACCAGATCCCTCTCTTTCTGGATGCCATCCTACAGTATTTTCAGATGGTATTTGAAATCAATTAACATACTGGGAAGGACTATAAAGTATGTCAGAAGGTGGGCTCCAATTCAATAGAATTGGCTTCAGTGTTTTCTAATCCCCGGAAGAGAATTTTTCTCTTTAGTTTTATAGAACTTTCTATCTATCATGCTTCTACTATTTGCTTCTAGTTATTTTCGACAGACAGGGAAATCCCACTTCAGCTCTGGTTGATTACAAAAGTCCTACGGGATTTATAGGAGGCAGGATTTTTTCCAGTATGATCATTTCCAGTGTGGTTATCTCTGGGTCAAATCAATAGGAAAGGAAGTTCTGAAGTGGTCAGAATCATCATGAATAAATGCATGACAAGCAAAGGCCCTGTTGTCTGTAACTGCAGTCATTGTGGCTATGACAGAACAAGCACATGTGTATGGATCTGGAACACTACACATTTCCAGTCTACTAATTGCTGCAATTTCAGAATATAATGAAGTGCTAGAACACTGTTACTATTCGTGGTAATTTGGAAGAGTGTCAGGTCTTATTCAGTTGGAAGTGAGGATTATTGCTATTTTTTCCTCTGTTTCTCAAAAAAAAAAAAAAAAAAAAAAAAAAAAAAAAGGCTTTCTCATGTTCCTACTGAAAATAAAGCATTCAATACCGATTTACAGATCAATTTTTCTTCATGGCTTAAAGGTGAGCACAGTTTTTTGGAACATTTTTGCGGTTCTGTAGTGGAACACCCTTTGGAGCACTTACGGAGAATCCAGAACGTGGACAGTATGTGTGCTCAAAACAAACTCTTGCACAGAAAAAAAAACAGTATTCCTGTTCATGGTTCCGTAGCTAATTTATAGTGAAGATTAGAAAGTGTAATATTACTTCATATTCCAGGGAGCTGCAAAAATCCAGGCATTATGCATTGGTGTTCAGGTGACATTTGTTTGAGTAAGCAAGATCTACAGTGGAAGTGTGGCTCTGGGGACCTGCACTGAATATGTTTATTGAGGGAAAAAGTTTTGCCTTGGGCTTACCTTTGTGTAAGTAGGAAAAGCTGAATGATTAGCGTGATATTCTTACTGGGGAACTACTTCTCTTTGCTTTTTGCTGCAGTAAGCATTCCAGTCCCCAGTAGTGGACACAAGGGAGACAGGCACAAAGGGCTGGACCCTCCTTACACTGTGTTGGACATCCTACAACTATGGTAAGGCAGCAAGTGAATAATTCTGGATAGTTGTTTCTTTAGATCAAGTGAGTTCCTGCCAGAGAGGAAAACAAAAGCTGC